ATTTATTTTTTATTTTTTTTTTATTTAAAAAAAAAAAAAAAAAAAAAAAAAAAACCTAACACTTAATACCGTTTGATGTGGTCATTCTCTCTCACACATAAAGGAAATAATCCTCTAGTTACAACAAATGTTAAAATCTTAACTTTAATTTTTTTAAAAATTTTCTCTTTATAATTAAAAACAGTATGTTAATAAAATTCATTGAATATATAATAAGATCTGATGGAAGAAAAATATCCTAGAGAGGATCCTCCCCCATATTTAATTTTATAAATATAAAAGAAAAGGTTGTGTATGAAGATAAGCTACCAACTGCGGATACTAATTTATTAACTAACGTAACACATAATTATGTTTTTTGATTTAATGATTGGGATATTTGAGACATATTTTTAAGGCAAAGAAAACATTATCTTGCGTGAAATAATTGGGAGTGCAAAATGAAAGTCAACAACTAAGAGGAAAGTAGATTTATTGTAAGTTGTAAGTAGCAACTACTAGGAAGTGCTATTCTCAAAAAAGCAAAAAAAACATAAAAGAAATGGCTGTCACTTTCTCTCTCCTGCCCCGTTCCCAACTTTCACACTTCTAGCCTGCCCGGCCGGCCCGTTGTTGAAAAACTCTCTTTCACATGCACTCTTCTCCACCACCTACACCCCCTTTGGACTCCCTTTCACAATTGGCTTTCTCTTTCTTTTTTTACTCATTTATCCTTTTGTTGTGATTCCAAACACTGATATTGTTCTTTTAGTTCAGTTGATTGTGAATTTTTGATCATGATCATGATCATGATCATGCTTTCCGAAGTCTTCAATTATTGGAAGTGAGGTTGCTTGAAGTGGCTTTTTTTTTATTTTTTTTTTTTATCCCAAAGTCTGAAACTTGTGGGGGCTTTTGAGCATGAAAAGTTATTTTTAAGAGGTTGTGGAAGATGGGGTTTAGGAATAATGCAATTCAGGCAGGGAGTTTGGATGTGGGAAAGTCAAAGATAAGGATGCAAAAGGATGGTGCTGAAAAGGAAATTGGGTGCTGTGTTAAATTCTGTTTCATTGGGAGCTGTATACCTTCAAGATCAAAGGTTGATAACTCCATAAGTGGTACTAGTGCTCACAGTGGTAATTTTCTTTCCTCGTATGCCTCTTTTCTTTAGTTTCAGGAAATGATTCCTATTATCCTGTATGACATTAATTTTGGTGAAAATTTTTTTCTTTTATCTTTACTCTTTGGTTGAATCGATCCCTTTATCTCTCCAACTTTTAAGAAACAATACAAATTCTGAGTTGATTAAAGTGATATAAAGTTTTATTCTACTTTTACTCCTAGCCGAAGTTGGAGTAGTACCTAATTTATTTGCAAACAATTGAGTATCAAAACAATGATCTTTTGTGCATTATCATTGGAGAGCTTCATAATCTTTCTGTAAACAGTAGCAGTAGCACCATCTCCATTTGATCTTGTCCAAAAGGTTGAGGAAGGTTTCTACTCAACTGTTATGACAATTTAATAGAAACTTGAGGTTCTCAAATGGTAATGGTGGGGTGAGATTTCAGTTAAGGTCATAACTTCATAGGTTAAATCACCAAACCAGAAAAGATAAAGAGAAAATGGTTTTAGTTGATTCATCCTTGAAGAAAAAAAAAAAAAAGATATCATGGTTAGAAATTTAGTGTTGACATTGAGAGGTCTTTATTGAATCTTATAAACTAATGAAAGTCAAGTTATTTATTTATTTATTTTATTTTGAATTTCCATGGACAAAATCATTATTATATGACCATTTTAGCACCACTCTGCGCGATTGTATTTGTTACTGTACAATGTTATTGATCCTGTAATGAGGTTGCGTATAGTGTTGCACATTAGGATAAATATTATAAATAGTGTTTTTCAATTCTTCAACCCTGAGGAAGTTATAATTTAGTTTATGATTTTATTTAAGTAGTGGACAAAGCATCTTCATATGAGAAAAGCAAGAAGAAAACAAATGTTCCTCCGGGGTCCTCTACAACAACCAGTAATGCAGAAAGTGTCCCTTCTACTCCAAAATTCAGCGAGGAGTTGAAGGTTTCTTCTCGTTTGAGAAAATTTACATTCAATGAGCTTAAGTTGGCTACTAGGAATTTCAGACCAGAGAGTCTTCTTGGTGAGGGAGGGTTTGGTTGTGTTTTCAAGGGTTGGATTGAGGAAAATGGAACTGCACCTGTGAAACCTGGTACTGGCCTTACTGTTGCAGTCAAGACCCTCAACCATGATGGACTTCAGGGTCACAAAGAGTGGCTTGTATGAAACTTATATTTCCTTCTCAACTCTTTTTCCTTCTATGAATTTTTCTTTTACAATTCCTCTTTGTTAACATTTTCCCTTTTTTCTTTCTTACCAGGCCGAGTTAGACATTCTTGGTGACCTTGTTCATACAAATCTGGTTAAATTGATTGGTTACTGTATTGAAGATGACCAAAGATTATTGGTTTATGAATGTATGCCACGTGGAAGTTTGGAGAACCACCTCTTCAGAAGTATGCTTTGAACCTGTTTTATTTCTAGTTCATGTTTTCACTACTGCTTATTTATATCTGCAGTCCCTTGCCTTTGCAGTAAATTTGGATGTTCTTGATTCATATATTAAATCAAAATTTATCTCACTACACTTGAGATAAAGTTTAGGTGAAAATGAACATGATTGTTACTGGTGCTACTAATTTCCTCGATACAAACGTTAATGCTGTATTCCCTATTCAATGTACTACCTTTAATTTTGATACAGTTTTTGATTCACAACTAATTCTTGGAGTCCTTGATTATTTAATGAATTCACAAACTTTTATGCTTAAAGAAAACATAAAACAGAACAAAACAATTCTCTTCCTATAGTGCGTTGTTCTTCATGATTGGCACTATTATGCTTTTTGAGATTTTTATGCATAAGGAAGTTCATTGTTTTCTGGTAACAACCATGAATTGTGCAGAAGGGTCGTTGCCTCTTCCTTGGTCTATCAGAATGAAAATTGCACTTGGTGCTGCAAAAGGTCTATCTTTTCTCCATGAAGAAGCTCAGAGGCCTGTAATCTATCGTGATTTTAAGACATCTAATATTCTGTTAGATGCGGTATGTGAGTTAAGTAGGAAAAAAGGTTTTTCATTATTTGCTTTCTATCTTCCAACATAAAATCATAAAAGCATAACTGTTTTTAGGAATACAACGCAAAGCTCTCTGATTTTGGACTCGCCAAAGATGGTCCTGAAGGGGAAAAGACACACATATCAACAAGAGTCATGGGAACTTATGGTTATGCAGCTCCTGAGTATGTGATGACCGGTGAGTTTCTTTCTTTCTTTCTTTCTTTTTTTCTAATTTTGTGTTTTGTTAACTTTAGACTTCACTACATGAATCAGGCTCTAGATTATGGGATGAAAGAATATACCAGCTGCTTTTGTAGCATTTTTCCTGTCATAAATAAGCTTCTTTTCCTGAGCACTAAATCAAGATTTTGTTTGCTTGTAAAGAGTTGAAATAATAAATGGTACATATTTTGCAAATTGCTTGGAGCATGGACAATGCACTGGGCTTATGTTTGGTGTCAAACAGCTTAAGCTTTTGCAATAATTTGGTTCGTGACATTGACATAGAAAAATTGGTTATGTATCAGCTAGACAGCTACTTTGAATCCTAGGTATTAAAACCAAATGCATGACCAGAAGTCTTTAAAACTTCAAAAGTTACAAATAGCTAGATTGTTAATCTTTTTTTTTTCTTCAGTGCATATTATACATATTCCTTTTAACTGCTAGATTTTTATCTCCAAATCAAGCTGTGATCATTACAAAATAAAATGTAAGAAATGTCATAAGGTTTTTCATAATAACTAGAGATCTTTATCATTTGAATTTTGATATCCTCTATGCATAGTTCCACATTTGCAGTTTTAATTTTGACCTTAACTGTCAATTCTGATCAGGACATTTGACATCAAAAAGTGATGTCTATAGTTTTGGAGTAGTGCTACTTGAAATGCTCACTGGCCGGCGATCTATCGATAAGAATAGACCAAATGGGGAACACAATCTTGTGGAATGGGCAAGGCCTGTACTCGGGGACCGGAGGATGTTACTACGGATAATTGATCCTCGCCTCGAAGGTCACTTCTCTGTTAAAGGATCACAGAAGGCTGCCCAAGTGGCTGCTCAATGCCTCAGCCGTGACCCGAAATCCAGACCTATGATGAGTGAAGTTGTTCAAGCTTTGAAGCCTTTGCAAAACCTCAAGGATATGGCTATCTCATCATATCACTTCCAGGTTGCACGAGTAGATCGAACCATGTCCATGCCAAAAAATGGTATTCAAACACAGTTAACATCTTTATCAAGGAAGGGTCAACCTGTAAGGATCTTGTCTAGTCCAAAAGGTCCTCATGGTTCTCCATATCATCACAGTATCAAGTCACCAAAACCTAAAGGATAAGAATCATGGTTCTCTCTTTGATTTGCTTCTCTATTCATTCAGTTCCCTCAACTTAGGATATCACCTTAACAGAAACTGTTTGTGTTTTGAAAAATTCTCTTAAACTTGAAGAATCAATAGAGTTTCCTGTCCTTATCTCAAATTAGGTGGGAGGGACCATGAGACAGGTTATTGGATTACAAAGTTTAGTGGGGATCGAGTTGACTCAAGTTTAAGGAAAAACTAGAATATACAGCTTTCACATTTGTTACTGTGAAGTTGATATACTTTTTCTACCATTTCACAGGCTTTCTTCTTCCTTTCAGAATGTAATTTTGTAAAGAAAACGGGTGCTGCTGTTAACTCATGTAATTCATAGATATTTTTACATACTCATTCGTCAATATACTTTTCAGTCAGTACTTATCAATGTAATTAATGTTGTACGAGAAACATGCTAGAGTTTGGAATTTGAACGACTTAAAAAGTTCTGGACATTTTTCTTTTCTTATCTGTGGTTTATATTTGAGTGTTAAATGAGTTCAGAGAAAGAACTTCATTGCTTTGTTATGTGGATTGTTTGTGTTCTGCAAATTTTATTTCATGCCACCTACGCGTATCATTACAAGGGAATTTTAGATGAGACTACTTTTGTTCTTGCACATGATTTTATTTTAATATTTTTATGCAAATAGGAAGGTTCACCCCATTCACTTTGCCAAAGGTTTTAGACGTGGACGTTTCAACACAATTTTATTGCAAACCGAGCACTTAATTATATAATTAGTTACCCCCTTAGATAAAGTAAAAATACAGTTATCTCTAGCGAAGAAAAAAATAAGACAGCACTTTATTTCCTAATGAAAAGCGTTAAGAACCCGTGGCCCCAATGATGAAAAACAACGAACTTTCGTTTTAGGATAAACCCAAATTATTGAACTATATTAAAAAGAAAATACTAAATAAAAATAAAATATACTTAATATCTTGAAAATATTAAGATATTTAATACTTATCATAACAAAAATGTAAAAGAATTAGAAGAAATATATACGCTTTTTGTATATAAAAAAAAATATTGATACATTTTGTTTATTACAAAAGTGAAAATCACTTTCGTTTGATAACAAGAAAAGAAATAAAGTGAGAATAAATAAGTGAGATCTGATACCTTCTATAGGTCACCAACACAAGGGAACAAATCCAATCATATGATTTTGATGGTACTGAATGGAGTAGAGTAAATCCTGTTATAAAGATGCTACATACTGAAATTAATGCAGGATCACACCAGGTGCTATTTAGTATTTATGGATCAATTTGCTTGTGCATTGTGTTATAGCATTAATTATCATGGACTGGTGTGCTGTATTAAAAAGTAAAACTGTTAATATTTTGCATGTCTTTTCAGTTATTACAGTCAGTGTGGAGTTGGATGCTGCCTTTGAGCAGAGAAATGAGAGAGAAAGGTTGTAGAAGAGGAGCTTGAAAAGGTGTTATATCTCTGTACTTTGTGCTTATCTTTATGTAAAATGTTGCTCTTTTAAAATCATTGGAACCTGAAAATATTACTCCTTGTTTAGTCCGAGCATGAAAAATGCTCATTATTTCCCTCTTGTTATATAATATCTAGTGAATATTCTAGTTGTTATTCAACATTTTTTTTATTGTTGAGAATAGCCCATGGCAAGTTGCATGCCAATAGGTAAGAATTCCTACTGAGTGTTTGGATTGGATCGAGTCAATTTTAAGGAAAAACAATTAAAAAACCAGTATTGTTAGATTCAATTGATTTAATTCTAGATTAAAATCTTATTCAAGAAAAAAATGTCTGACAAGAACTACATTTTCTACTATTGCCTTATAGATGTTTTGGGCAAATGCTAATTTTTGGTTGAAAAATCAAAAAATTATTTTTTTATCTGTTTTTAATACACCTTTCATAATTTACATTAAAAAATTACTTAGGGAGAGTAATTCATTACTACATTAAAAATTAAACCGTTGTGCTTGCTGACTTGTTGGGAGGAAGAAAACAAAAAAGGAAAAAAAGTTGTGTTAAATAAAATGTCTGTTAGACTCTGTTTCGTTGAAAAACCGAACCCACTCCAAGCAATTAAAAAAATCATTTTTTCCTTTTGAGACTTCGGTAAGAATACCTATTCTAGTTTATTCTTTCTACTCATTCTTAATATATAAAAAAAAAAATTAATATAAAACATAAGTCAATGTAAATATAATATACTCCTCTGTTCTCTTTTATATATATATATATATATATATATATATAAATTATTCTCAAATATAAATACATTTTAACTAATGATAC